CAGCTGCACCCCCCCACAGCTCTCTGGTGTGTACTTCCCAAGATCCTGAAAAGAATGAGCACATTTCTCCCCCACAGAAGCAAATGAACGCAATGTTTCCAAATAAGCCATTTGACATCAACATGATGCTGGGATGGGGACCCAGGTGTGAGGGGAACCAGCGACATGGGGGAGTGGGGGGCGCTGTCCTCACTGGGGCTTAGCCAGGTAGTCAGTGCTCAGAACGGCTCACTGCCGGCAGCAAGGCCTACACCACCCTCTTTGAGGGTCCAGCCTCCGTCCCCCACCGCTGCTGCTGGCGCCAAGAGTGGACTGAAGCGTTCTGGAATGTTCCGCATCCCTGAACGGCTGCTATTCTAGCTCCACACACGTGCACATGTGACTCGGCTCCTCTCTGCTAACTGCCTGCTGTCCATGTCCTTCTGGGCACAGTGGTGGTCTCTTAGAAGAAGGAAGACCCCCTCCTTCTCATGAGGACTCCCCGTGAAAGAAACACTCCCTTCAGAAGCAGAGCCCCCCACTGCACACAGCTGCTGGCAACAGGGCCAGTGCAGGCCGGAGCAGCCGGACCGGGCCTCGCTGGCTGCAGCCTCGCTCCCCAGTAGCTCCCAAGGGTGCCACACATCAGCTGGCAGGTGTGGTCAGCTCTGCCTCTTCTGGGGGCCACGCAGCCCTCCCTTCAGCCCGTCCCCCCATCACTCTGCCCCCTCAGCATTTCCTGGGGCACACTGGCAGCTCTGGGGGAGCCCTTCCACCCCAGGGCCTCTCCTTCCCACCCCTTCCCTCAGGAAAGACCCCAGGGAGTCCACATGAAATTAGAAGCACAGTAATGCAACCGACCCCACCTGCCTCCCAGGAGACCTTGGGCAAATGACACAACTGTTCACGCACCTGTCTTTCCCTACATCCACAGCAAGACCTGCCTAGGTGGCCGGGCCGGGCAGTAGCCTTAGGTGGGTAAGGAAATGGGGGGAAATGGGAGCTGACAGCGCCAACCACTCCCAGGGCGGTCAGTCACCATGCAGTGAGCTGACAGCAACGACCACGCCCAGGGCGGTCACACTCGTCACCATGCAGGGCAGTGAGCTGACAGCGCCGACCACTCCCAGGGCGGTCAGTCACCATGCAGTGAGCTGACAGCACCGACCACTCCCAGGGCGGTCACACTCATCACCATGCAGTGAGCTGACAGCGCCGACCACTCCCAGGGCGGTCACACTCGTCACCATGCAGTGAGCTGACAGCGCCGACCACTCCCAGGGCGGTCAGTCGCCATGCAGGGCAGTGAGCTGGTGATGAGCCACAGGTGACCGCTCGCTGGCCGCGGCGAGCTGGGCTGCCCCACGTCTCCGGGCCAAGCTGAGCAGCGCCCCGATGCCCCCACCTCCCGCCAGCACTCCGGAAGTCCAGCTCCCGGTTACGAGGGAAGGGAAAGGACGGCCTCAGAAGCTGTGCTGCATCTCCAACTGCCAGCAGGAAAGGTAGAGAGCTCAGAGGAGACAGGCACACAGCATCCCGGCCTTTTGTTCTGCAGCAATAGTCGCAAAATGAGATGAAGCGACCCTACACCTCTCACTCAGCGCCCACTTTATCACCTCCACCCCCACTCTCGGCCTCTCAATTGGCCGTGTGGACGGCAGGCCATGGGATCAGGGGCGGGTGGCTGCTTGCTCCGAGCCCCTTCGCCAAAGGATCTGCTTCTTGCCCAGGCCGGGGTCACTGGCAGTTCAATTTTCATGCTTCACAGCCGTCCTCTTTGAACACTGCCAAAGGCCCCCCACCCCCCCACAGGCCTGCCTCTCAGAAGCAGCCCCTTCTCATGGGAGCCAGGGTGGCCAGCAGGGCTCACTGCCCCCTGGCTGAAACACAGCTGCGCCCAGACCAGCAGCTGGCAAAAGCTGGCCACCCCCAACTGCTGAGTACACTGGGAGCCCCGGAGCAGGCCAGCTGGGAGACACCCGCAGCCCAAGGACTTGGTTGCAGCTCGGCTCTGACGTAAAGAAAGGTGAGTCCCCCAACACAGCTGCCCCCTAGAAAGGCGAGGACAGCGGCCGAGACTGGAGAGGAGGCCTACAGGGAGCCACACGGGGTCTCTGGACTGAAGCAGCCTGAGGGAACAGCATTCCTGAAGACTCCAGAAGGCTCCAGACACACTCAGTGTAAGAATGATCTGCGGACAAAAGCCACCAAATGAAGCAGATACACTCTGTCTTCGCTGTTAAGACAGATGCAACACGGCACCGTGGCCACTCCGAGAAAGTGACTTGCCTTAGCTAGCTATCCACAGGCCTCCTGCCCGCCCAGGCCTGTGACCTTCAAAAAAGATCTCCCATTTTAGAGCTGGAAGAGGACACGAGAGTAATTAGGACAACACCCTAGTCCTTCAGTACAGGAAACAAACCCAAGAGATTCCAATCAAACAGAGACCTGCAGAGAGCCTGGTGGGCAGACACCAGCGAAGTCACCTGTGTGCAGAGCGCACTTGGCCTGGACACCGACTCCCAGCTCCCGATGCTGGCCCCTGGCTAAGGCACGCCCAAGAGCCAGCGAATGGCCAAGCAGCTGGGTTCTGGACACCCACATGGGTTACCGAGATCGCACTGACTGGCCGCTGGCTTCAGTCCAGTCCCGACCAGAGGCTGCCAGCATTTGGAGAGGGAAACAGGATGGGTAAGTTTTCTTCAAATGCAGTCACAGGTCCTCCCTACCCCCAGTAGGTAAGACGGCAGCCAGCAAATCCACAGAGGAGCTGAGCCATGCTGGCGATGTCAGGGCCAGGTGCAGCCCTCCAGGGCAGCTAGCTATTCTGGACATGCTGACCCCCACTCCCTCCCTCTTAAAGACTTAGTTCTTCATTTGACAGCCAGAGTGACATGGTGGCACATGCCCACACCTATAACGAGTTCCCCCATCTACTGGTTCACTCCCCAAACAGCTACAACAGGCAGAGCTGAGTCAGGAACCCCATCTGGGTCTCCCATGTGGACAGGAGGGTCCAAGCACTGGGGACATCATCTGGTATCTTCTCAGGCATGTTAGCTGGAAGCTGGATTGGACATAGAGTGGCTTAGACTCTAAGCAGTGCTCCAATACAGGACGCCAGAGCAGCAAGTGGCAGCTTAACCCACTGTGCTACAATGTGGCCATGCTATGTCCTCTCAAAGCCAAAGCGACTGAGCAGGACATGCAACCTCCCATCCAGCCCCCAGGCATTCCCGCAGCAAAGAACATTACTCATCGCAGCCCAGCGTGCCCAGGCTGCTGGAGAGCAGCTCCCAGCTGCCACTGCTCTGGCTGCTCCCAGAAGCCCACCCTGGACCCAAGGGGCCCATGCTGGCCACGCTCCCAGACCAAAGCCAGTGCACAGAGAGATTCGCCAGACTTTCTGCTGCCTAGGCCTCAGCAGGCTGGTCCACACACAGCATGCGCCCCCAGACGGCAAGGTCAGCACCACTGTCCAGGGCCCAGACGACACTGCACATGCACAATACGGGCAGGTCTGTGCAGTGCCCAGCCTTGTCAGAACTGCACAACAACCAGAGGAAGCTTGTCCCTCCCCACTGATCCACACAGCCGACTCACTCACTGAGTGGGGACTGGCGATCCCGGGCACCCCTCTCAGTCAAGCCCTAAAGACTCAGGCCCAGGAAGAAGGTTGGCAGGAAAGCCAGTGTCTCCATCACCTGGAATGGGGCTTGACCCCTCCTGGTGGCTGCCCAGCCCTAATCAGCAGCAGTGTGGCCACATGGATGTGGTACCTGCTGGCTGGGGACCTAGTATGGATGGCTAGAAGATGGCTTTTCTCCCGCTTTCACACCACACACCCTCTCTGTCCCCCAGAGCTGAGCAGCGTGTGTCACTGGAATAGGAACCGCAGTACGGGGGCAGGGCTCCAAGCCCCTCTTCTCCACAGCCTTTGTGGAGACGGAAGCAGCCACTCCCGCAGTGACGCAGGCCCCTGGCAGCTCTGACACACAGTCAGACCAGGAATGTGTGCTTCCAATCCATAGGGCAGAGCCCCCGGCCGTCGTCATGTCTCCTTGAGCACTTGACCGTGCTCCCAAGAAGTACGCGCAAATGGAGGAGCATGGATTTAAAAATTCCTATTACAACTACTTAAACTCTGTGCTTTAAAATAAATCCCCTAGGGGTACCAGCCAGGAAATGTACTGCTGCTGTTTGCTGCCTACACACCAGGCTCGGGTTCCGTACCACGGCACCCTGCATGCCACCTACCAGGCTGCTGGGCGTCCGGGCTCTGGATGACAACTGTGTAAGTCAGGAGCAGCTGAGAGCCAGGGGCTGCCATCGGGCACAGCACTGCCCGGAGGCCAAGCATGCCACGCAGGAACACAGTGAAGCAAAACCCCCGACCTCTCAGGCATTCAGGCTGACAAACCCACACTCCTGCTGGCTGGGACTCCAATCGCCAGGTCTCGCTTGTGTGGGAATGCGGGCAAACAGCCCTGTCATTAATCAGAGACCCTCTGCCAGTCACTTAATAGGATTAGGAATACACTGCGATTTCTCGGGGCTATGTGCTGGTTTCCTAGGGCATCCTTCCCTGTCCCCACGCCCGATCTGAGAGGCAGGGGGCGGGCCAGCTGAGAGCTGCTGGCAAAGGACCCTCACAGAAGCGGGGAGACGCGCCAACACAAGCAGCTTAGGTTCCCATGGCAGGTGCAGCATGGGACCTGGGCACAGGGAAGCTGATGGGATGCAGGCCACGCCCCCAGCAGCCTGGCAGTCAGAGGAGGGTGACAGGTAGAACAGGCCGACTCTGCACCAACGGCTTCCGAAGCAGGGAGCCAGACCCGGGCAAGCTGATCACCTAGGATAAGAGCGTCCATGACAACTCCCCACCCGGCGACCCCGGGGGCAGGTGACCTCGTCACCCTCGGCAGCTACTGCCTGGTACTTAGGACTCTTCTGATGAGTGACAACTCGGGTGTTACTGCTGCACAAAGCCACAGCCACGTGGCCCTAGAGCCACCTCTCACCTGTCTGAGGTGCTTTCCAGCGAAGCGCGGACGCTGCAGGCCAGCTGCACGCTCAAGCTCTGCTTCCAAGGGCACCTGAAGAACAGGCCGAGGCCGTGAGCCAACGCGGAGAAGCGGGGTCCCTTAGGGAGTTATCTGAAAGGCAGGGACAAAGACGGTTATTACCCACCCACCATCACCCAACAGTCAGGAGTCCAGAACCCCACCCAGGTCCCCAGGGCCCCCACGTGGGAGGCAGGCACGCACGTCCTTGAGCTGTCACTTGCTGCTTCCAGGGTGGGCAGTGGCAGGTGGCTGTACCTGAAGGGGAGAGGCTGGACCTGACCTGCACCATGATGTGTATAGGGGTGGAGGGCAGCTGTCCCAAGGGACGCCTTCACCTGCTGTGCCACGACAGCCATCCCAAAGATGCCAGTCTGTGTTCCTGGTAGACACCAGCACACCATGGCCAGGGTTCCTGGGACTCGGAGTTGAAAAGCTGGCTAGCACCACTGAGCCACAGCGTGGGATCTCACAGACCAAGTGGCTCAGCAGCAGGGCAACGGCGAGCCAGGACCGTCACCTCCTCCTGCCTGGCATGCTGCCCGCAGCACTGCCTCCCCAGGGGACCTGGAAGGCTCTCCGTCACCTCAGACACCAAGAATGAGCACAGGATGGGTGCCATGTCCTCACAGCGCTCATCGCCTGGGAAGACAGAGTAGCCGGCAGTGAAAACCTGACCCGACACGGCTGACAGGTGCAAGGGCAGTGCGGGGGCCTGTGTGGGGCACCTGCCCACCCCAGCAGGGCCAGAGGGAGCCCCAGAGCAAGGGAAGGCTAAGCTGAGGGGGGCTGGTGCAGGCAGGCCTGAGGACTCAGGAGGGCAGGCCAGGCAGAGCGAGCTGAGAGCCTCCGGAAAGGAGCAGGAGTGCGGGCAGCTGGCTGAGGCAGGGGCTGGCGACCAGTGGCCATTTCCCTGCCAGAAGACCCATGACACAGCTGCAACTGCAGCCTCAAGGCCAGCACTGACAGTGGAGGCTGCCAGGCAGGGAGAAGGGCAAGTGCACAGAGGGCCTCCTGAGGCCCCAGGGGCTGGGGCGGATGCCAGCGGCCAACACAGCCGCTCAGAGCTCCCCAGAGCCAGCGCCACCTCGAGAGGACACAGGGACAGCCTCAGGACTCTCCCCAGTGACTCCTGTGACCCCGCTTCTGAACCACAGCACTGCTCATGGTGAGCTGGTCCCCAGACACCAGCTCAAGGTCACCGTTCAGGACAGGCTGCCTGCTGGACACACTGTACCTCCTAGAGCCGGCCACAGGACAGCAACATTAGGCAGCTGACCCCAGACCTACGGATGCAAGGTCCCTGGGCTGGAGCTCTGCAGGTGACCTGGGGGCAGCGGCTCTGCCAGAGGATTCGGGTGGGGAGGTGCCAGAGATGAGGCACCAAGCCAGAACTGACCACCTGCCAAGCTGGCAGCCAGTCGTGCTCAGGGCCGCTCACCCGCAGGGCCTTGGTGCCCACTTTGCTTGACAGAGCACACACACAACTAGTTCTGGATGAGGCCCGGGAGATGCTGCTGGCTTTGCAGACCACGGGCACCCCAACTGTCAGCTGGAGAGGAACAGGCACAGACCAACCCCACGCGGGCTTCCCAGGCAACACCCCGACACCCCATCCACCTCTCCAGGAGCCTTGCTGTGTCGGGCCATGGGACGGGCCGTGCTGGGCCCATACCTCCCTTTCTACACCCCCGGACACAGGATCCGGTTGCTGTGATAAGGGACAGAGGGGAATTCTGGAGGGTCGAGTCACCCCTGGAGTTACAAAGGCACCCACACCCAGGAGCAAGACGCCCAGCTTAGCTGCCACCTCCTCCCTGCCTCCTCCCCAGAGTGAAGCCAGACCAGCCCTCCCCCTGAAAAGCGTTTTTCTGTAAGAACAGGCAAACTCTCATATTCTTGTTTACGTTTCTGGAGCTTCTGCTTCTCTTCACCAAAGGAGAAAAATGGGCTCTAAGGCATAAAGACCAAGTGCCCAGCCACCGGGCTCCGCTTGGCTCTGCACAGGGAAGGCTGACCCACTGACTCCACCCTCAGAAAAAAGATCAAGGCAGGTCACGGTGTAGGAGGTAAAGCCGCCGTGACACCAGCATCCCCCAGGGGCACCACTTCCCATCCCGGCTACTCCACTTCCCACCCAGCTCCCTGCTAACAACCCAGGAAAATCAGCGGGGCACGGGCCAAGTGCTGGGCCCTGCCACAGCCCTGGAAGACCAGGATGAAGCTCTCAGCTTCAGCCGAGCCCGGCCCTTGGCCACTGTGGCCATCTAGGGGACTAACAGCAGATGCAGGCATGCTCTAACTCTGCCACTCAAAGTACGTAAATATTGTTTTTAAAAACACTGAAAGCCCAGAGTTCCCTTCTGATGCACAGGGGCTGAGAACTCTGGGAAAATGCAACCCCCTCTGAGCAGACAGGATCTCAGCCACGGGTCCGTGAAGGGGCCAGCACCATGGCCTCCAGGTTAAGCACAGCCTAAGTCTGGGTGCAGCTTCAAGTCCTGCTGCACTCCTACTGCTTGGGCCCCTGCACCACATGGGAGCCCCAGGAGAAGTGCCTGGCTTCGGATCAGTCCCAGTTCCAGCTGTTGTGGACATCAAAGGAGTGAAACAGTGCATGAAGGATCCATCTGCCTTTCTCTAGGCAACTCTGCTTTTCAAATAAATACATTTAAAAAAATGTATACCAAAGGTTTCCCCAGTGACACTGTGGTTCCTGTCACACACACACACAGCACTGGGTAGCGGCTGGTGACCCAAATGCCCTGCGTCCCCCTAAGCTGCGCCGACCACGGAGGCCTCGGGGGTCCCCCATTCCCATTCTCCAAATCCAAGTCCACTCTCTTACTCTCTGAAGCTCCTCCTGCAGCCTGCAGGGAACATGGAGACGTGTACTGCTCCAGCCACACTGGGCCTGCCTTGAGCAAGGGTTGAGATGGACTGGGGCACCCGTACACACCTCAAGTCCCAGCTGCTGCTCCACTTCCCACCCAGCTCCCTGCTAATGTGTCTGGGAAAGCAGCAGGAGAGAAACCAAGTGGGAGAACTAGAAGATGTTCCTGGCTCGGACTTGGTCCATCCCTGGATGTTGCGGTCACTGGGGAGTGAACCAGCAGACAGAAGCATTTTCTCTCTTTCCATCCCTCTGCCTTTCAAATAATCAGTGTCTTTAAAAGCCGGAGCTCCGAGTACAAGCACAGTACCGAACATTGCGAAGTACGCCCACAGTGCAGCATTCACTACACAATCAACGCCGATTCAGCGGGACCAGGCCACATCAGGGCTGGGTCCAGAGTAGGGAGAGCGGCAAGCCGGGGTGCCAGGCGGGCAAGAGATGTCCCTGAAGAAGGCCAGAGCTTGGAGCCTCAAAGCTCTTCCCGAAGGCAGGGCTCTCCCGAACGACCTGCATGCCACTGAGCCTGGTGCCTGCTTCAGCTCCCGAGACACAAAAACCTCATGTCAGCTCAAACCACAAGCACTCAGTGCACCCCTCACCATCTCAGACTCCCAGGGCCAGAAGGACAAGCCACAGGGGATGCCTGTGAGAAACGCAGGGGCTCAGGCCTGCTGGATCAGGGCTGCCCTTGAACAAGACCCTGGGCACTTCCCGAGCACACTCAGGTTTGCGAGGCTGGCAGGAGGGTGGGCAGGGCGCCACTCTCCGGACCCCAGGCACACCCCAGCCCTATCTGGGCCCAAGCCCAGCCACCCACCAGCAGGCAGGCCGAAGGAGGCAGGCACCACTGACAGCCACTTGCGCCATGTGCGGGCTCTCCTGGCAGTCACCGCAGGAAGGCAGGGACACAGACCCCGTGACCATCAATCACAGGGACAATCGAGAGCCAAACAATAGCACGGCATGCAGGCTCTTGGCTCCGGCATGATGTTAATGAGGTCGGGGTCAGGGGGGTGATTAGCTTCCTCTGTGTCCTGGCACAGACTCCGGCCCTCTGGCCCGAGGTTCCCGAGCAGCCACCGGCAGGGGTGGCTGCACTCAGCCACACTGTACATGAATGGCGCCAGGGCACCACAGGGCCAGCAGGGAGCAGCGTGGCCCGGAGCCAGCAGGGACAGGAGGGCGGCTAGGCCAGACCCGAGAGCCACCAAAAGCCAAACTTCCCACACGGGAAGTCCCATGTTCCAGACTTCTCACAGGGGAGCCACTTCATCTTAGCCAGAGGAAATCTCACAGGTCGGCAGGGCTCTGCAAAGTGTTTTGCTCAATTTCTAAAACCCGCATGCTGTGCTGATCATGAGGCTGAATAAGGTCGGAGGTCACGTGGAGCAGGGGCGTGGGGGCCCCTGGTGGCTGGCTGGTTCCTATGGCCCCTCCCACCATGCACAGAGCAGCCATGCCCTCCACTGCTGCCACCTCCAACACCCGGTTCTCGGCCTCAGCACCCACACAGTCCTGCGTCTCTGTCACCAAGAACACAACCTATGCCCCAGATGATCCTGCCGAAACACATCCCGGAACCCCAAGGACTCAGAAGAGGAGTGATTCACTCAGCCGTCCAGCAGGCTATCTACCTGAGCCCCCAGGGCCTCAAACAGCTGGGTGAGGACGCCACTGAGCTGCCAGGTGCCACGGCAGAAGGGTTGGCCACAGGGAGCAGCCCTAAGACTAGGGTCTGTCTGGATACCTCCTCCTGGCCGGGCTCCTCTCCCAGGCATGGACAGGCATGGACAGTGGTCGGTCACGGGGAGGACGTGACTCCAGATTGCTTTTAGAGCACTGGCGAGGGTGCCCACAAGTGTTTAGCAGATCAAGGAGGGGCTGGTGCGTTGTCGTAGCCAGTTAATCCTCCACCTGCAGCGCTGGCATTCTCTACGGGCACTAGTTAGGGTCTCAGCTGTTCCACTTTCAGTCAGACTCCCTGTTGATACACCTAGGAAAGCAGCGAAGGATGGTCCCAGGGCTTGGGCCCCTGCATCCACGTGGGACAAGTCCTGGCTCCTGGCTTCAGCCTAGCCCAGCCTGGCTGCTGCTGCTGAATTTCACACAGCTGCGCACCCAGCAAACTTGTCTTCCACTTTCACTTCCATCGTAAGGCAGTGTGCATTCTTCACCACTGCAACAACACCAGCAGCCTGCAGCACCCGTGCCGGCAGCCGCTGGCCACAGGACGCCCCACCCACACCCTCCAGCTCCAGGTTCCCAGGAAGGCCCCTCTGCTGGCTCCACATGACTCAAACAGTACAGAGTGGTCATTCACTCCTTGTCCAGGAGGGAGCCGATCCGCACAATGGAGCTCACTCCAACCTAATCACCTCCCCAAGTCCCCCCACAACATTCTTCCACTGGGTGCTGGGAGAACACACTCAGTCCATGACCTGTGTGTGTTCCCAGGCCAGCCCATGACACGTGTGTGCATGTGGGTGCCTGCCTAGGGACCTGTCCATCAGGCACACAGCACCGCCTAGAGCATGTTCCTCTCAGCTGTCTCAAACCAAGCTACCCCAAGCGGACCTTGCACACCTGCAGAATGAGGCTGGCACAAGCACCTGCCAGGGCCGATGATCCCAGTCCCCGTGGATGGAGAGGAACCATCAGTGGCATGGACACATCTCACTTCCACAGCAGCCACCTTCATCACCGCCCAACACCCCAGTCCCCACCCTTGCAAGCTCCAGCTTCTGCTCCCACCCTCCCTGGGACCCAAGTCCACACAGCCACTCCCAGGAAGGCTCTGACCCCACCCAGGCCTCCAGGGAAAAGCCTCACCTGCCAGGCTCCACCCCTCCAGCCCCCAGGCACCTGCCTCCGGGCTCACCATATCCCTGCCTCCTATCACCCGTCCCATCTTTCACAAAGTACAGGGAGGTCAGCGTCACCTGCCAAGGTGGCCTGGCCCTCCACACACCTCAGAGACCAAGTTCAGGTCCCTCTGATGAGCAGCCGAGACCTCACCCCAACAGACTCTTGCAGGGCCTCACCTGTACAAGCTCAACAGGCTGGTGTAAATCTCCTGTGGACTGCAGTACACTGACTGGTTACCAAAGGATGGAAGGAAAACGCTGGGGGACGCGGGAAGAACCAAGTACCAACGTTTCCCTTCCTAGCACACAGGCCACCTGTGCTCGGGGTCCTGCCCGGCCGCCCTGCATGCCAGCTGGGCTCACAGGTGGTGGTGCTCAGCACCAACCTCTGCTCTCTTTTGGCCAGCTCTGTGAGCAAGCTGCTGTTCCCTGGGTCGGAGGCATACTGCAGCGGATGGGGTGGGAAGGGGCTCTGCACAGCCCTCTCCCAAACACTCACAGCTGTGCATGGTCCTGAATGCAATCAGCTTCCCAGCTGAGTACAGGTGCGCTTGGCCCCAGCTGCTTCCACCACCTGTGCTGCAGAAGCCAGGCCTGTCCTGTCTCTTGGTTCCCTGCCCCCCGCCAAGGGAGGCGGCAGCCCCACGATAGCATGCACGGATGGACAGGTACTTCCCCAAATCAGAAGAGCTACACCCAGAGGCCCCGGTCCCCGAACCGCACCTGTTGTCCACCTGACCTACCGGAGCCAGGTGCTTTCCGCAGGGAGAGCAGGCGCTGCATATTTACTTACCATTTGTCTCCAAGAGCACCAGGCATTTGCTAACACGTTGCTTCTGGCATTCCCAAGAAGGAACTCATCCACTATTCCCACTGCCCTGTGGTTCCTGCCTCCCTCTCGCTTTCCCATGCCAAATAAAATGCAGGTGTGTACTGTGGTAGGCCTGGGAGCTTGCCATGGCAAGGGGACAGCCATGCTTAGGGCTGCACGCCACACCTATCCTCAAGGTCGGCCGGCACTGCTCACCCCAGAAAAACAGCATCAGACAGCGCCACAAGGACACAGCAGGCCGGTCCCTGGGAGTCTGTGCTTGCGGGCAGAGGCAGCCTATAGGCCGCCCCTCCGAGAGCAGGTGTGGGCAGTCCCTGCCTGAAGCCAGCCTCCAATTCATCCGCACGGTGTCTCCCACTTGAGCTCTATGCCCCTCCCCCGCCAAAGATTTTATTTCTATTTATTGGACAGGTAGGGAGTGGGGAGAGGGGGAGAGAGACTGCAAGAGCTCTTCCACGGGCAGACTCACCTCCAGTCAGCAGGCTCACTACCCAGATGGATGGGCCAGGTGGCTGAAACCAAGAACCTGTAGCTCCATCTGGGTCTCCCTTGCAGATGATGAAGGCTCAAGCCCCAGGCCCTTCCTCTGCTGCCTTCCCAGGAGCACTGGCAGGGCTGGAAGGAGGGTGGGGAGTGCCAGGCAGAGTGCCAGGCACCCTGAGCCCAGGCACGGTGGTCAACAGCGGGCCAACTCTCCTCCACTGAGATCTCTCCTCTCCAAACAAATCACATTCACTCACTCAAGTTATACTGGAAAAGTCCACGCAATAATTCTTCCTGGTGGGCTGGCGCCTCGGTCCCCTACGCCCTGGGGAACGCTGGTAGGATGGCCTTGGAGAAGCGCTTCCCCCGTGGGGCTCCGAACTCCTCGCCCAGGACTAGAACCAGCCCGGCACGGCGCCCGAGCTGACTCTGACTTCCCCTAACGCGCCTTCCCGCTTGGAAATTTAAGGAGACTTTTCTCTTTCAAAAAGAGAGAGAGAGAGGGCGAGCAACACAGAGACTGCAACACTGCAACACCAGGGAAAGGCGAAAGCAAAGGGCGGGGCGCGCGGCCGGCCCGGGGAAGGCACCGGGGCCACCGCGCGCCGGCCCGGCCACTCCGGCCGCCTGGTGGCTGCAAAGCCACGGAGCGCTGCGCCGGCGCGCCAGCGGGGTCCGGCCCGGCGCCGGGGTCTCCTGCCTCCCCGACCGTGTTCCAGCCGCGGAAAAGCCGCGCGGCGCCGGAGAAGACCCTGCGCCTCCTCCAGTCCCGGGACGCGGAGCGCGCGTGGAAGCACGAAGCCCAAGCTCCGCGCCCGGCCCTGCCCCGGGCCCCGAGCAGCGGCGGGGCAGCCCGCGGGGCGACCACCGGGCCCGGGCGCGCGGCCAGCGGCGGGGGCGGCGCCGTGCCAGGCTCCGCTCTTTCCGCCTCCGCGGCCGGCGCGCGGCTCCACGACCGAGCCGTCCCCGCCCGCGGGCGCCGAGCGAAGTTTCCCGCGGCCCCGCGCCCCCCACACCCAGCCTCCCGCCCGGGCCCCACTCACCCGCGGCCGGCCCCGCGGTCGCCGGCTCCCAGCCCGAGCGCGCCCTGCCCGGGGCTTTCCGCTACGCCTCGGCGAGGGCCCCGCCGCGCTGCCGGCCGCTCGGGCGGGACGACGAGGGGGAGGAGGAAGAGGCGGCGGGCGGGGAGGGGGCGCCGCGCTGGGCGGCGCGGGGAGAGCGCGCGGGGCGCGGAGGCGGGGCGGCCCGTGGCCGTCGCTCCCAGCCCGGCCCCCGCGGCCGCTGCCCAGTCGCCGCCGCCTGCAGCCGCCCGCCCCCTCCCCGACGCGGCGGCCGCGGGGCCTGGGCCCGGGGATCCCTGGACGAGGCCGGGCACTGCGCCCGCTGGGGTCCGGCCCGACTCCCGGAGCCGCCCGGCGGCGGTTTCGAGGCCGCGCCCTGGGGCGCCCGAGGCGGAGGGGGGTGGGTCTCCAACTCGCCCGTCCGGCGGAGGACCGTGCCCCGCGTCTGCCGGCGAGGACACGGTCGTTGTCACCAGAAGTGTCCCCAGTGGGGGCGCCGGGACCGTGAGCTCCGCTCCCAGAGTGGGTGACGTGGCCCGGCCGCTGATGCGGTGTATCTCCCGGGTGCCAGCCTCCAAACTCGGCCCTGGCCAGGGGTCCCCCGACCCCCTGGGGACCTGCGCTCCGGTCCCAGCCCTGCGTCTGGCCGCTGCTCTGCCCTCGGCTCACCCGGTCCGGTGCGCTCCCAGCGGGCAGGGCTCCAGAGCACTCCGAGGCCCTTTGCAAGGAAAAATGCCGAATTCCTAGGAGACAGTTTCATTCAAAATCATCCAGGAACTGAGCCGCCCCACCTGACCCCGCGGCCGGCTCCTCCTGCGCTGGCCTGGCTCCAGGCCAGTCAGGGATGCCCTTTGCCTGCCTCCCCTCCCCCAGGAGAGCAGGCCTGCTGGCTGCTAGGGAAGGGGAGTTGTATTCTCCCAGTTTTGTGCAATCTCACGGGGCTGGGGAAACTGGGCTGAAGATGAGTCAGAAATCGGCTGTGTGACCGTGCGTCAGATCAGTAAGGGTTCCACTCGGAGACTGGCAGGGTGTAGGAGCCAGGCCATCCCATCCCTGGTAACCATGCCAACCATGGCAGTATCAATACAGGGCTGACTCTCCTCAAAAGGGTGAGTGCCACCACTTATGGAGGGGAGAGACACAAAGTGTCTGGAGGAGAGGGGACCCTGCGCCCCATGAACGCCCCCACCCCCGCAGGTTTGAGCCAACCCAGAAGGTGGGACACCACGAGGACAGCCCGCAGGGAGTGTGCTGTGTTCCCAGAAGTCCCAGCTGCTGGTCACCTCTTGCAGCTGCTGGGGCGGAGTGGGGTGGAGGGGAGTGCTGGGTACTGAGGGACTAAAAAGCTCTGCCCTGGAGGCCCGTGAGTACTTGCTTGGCATCAGGGACTTGTGGATGAGAGTGAGTGCACCCACTTCACATTCTGGGTTCCTGAGTTCACCACAGAATTATCTGGGGAATGGGAAATTCAGTGCTTTTCTCAACTACCTGTTTTTGCAGAGCAGGTATGCCGCATGAGGACAAATGACATGTGACAGGAAACTAGAAATGGCAAGTCAGGGAGGGCAGGCAGCAAGGTGCTCAGAGGAGGAGACAGGCCGGGTTCTGTGGGACGTAGGACTGGGGAGGGCCAGGCTGGGCGGCCCCTGGGAGGCCACGCGGCTCCGAGCTTCAGGGACGCTGCTAGGAGTGAGTGAGAGCAAATTAAAGGGTTCGCACAGAGGCCTGCCAAATGACAGGGAGGCCTCGGAGGGAAATGACCCAGCGTCACTCGGCGAGGTCACAGGGTGGAATTACGGTGGAGCCGGCACAGAGGCAGGTTCTGCACCTGCTTGCCCAGGCACATCACTCCACACCACTGGCGTCGGGACGCAGCACCCTGGCCGAGCACCAGCCTGCGGAGGGGCGGAGGAGCTGCTGGTGAACCCACTGCCCACCCTTCCTGGCCCTGGTCTGTCTCGACTTTGAGCATGATACTATCTCTAGCAGACGCCAAGCAGCTTCACGCGAATGAATGAGAAAGCAGCAGAAGAGGAGTCAAGCACGTGGGCCCATGCACGTTGTGCAAGACCTGGACTGAGTTCCAGACTTGTGGCTTCAGCCCAGCCCGGCCTGGCCACTGCAGACAATGCAGGAGTGAGTGAGCTGGTGGACGGGCTCTCTCCCTCCCTCCCTCTCTGTAACTCCGCCTTTCACATAATTTTTTTTTTTTAATCCTAGGCGATAAGCTAAGAATCTCTTCCTGGAAACTCATAGAACACATTTTGCCAACAGTGTCCTGGGAAAGCCACTGACTTAGCATCCTCTGCTTGTGTGTTCTGAGGATGCAACTCTACCAAGAAGCCATCTGCAGCACTAAGAAGCCGCGCTTATCTTCCATAAACTGGGCTTGAGAAAAGGCGGTTTGGGCCCAAGCCTGGAAGGGCTCCATTGACTAAAGCAGCACATGAATCCACACAGGACAAAAGCCACCTTTTCTGGAGACACACACACACACACACACACACACACAGACCCTAGCTGGATTTCCGCATCTAGCTGGCGGCTTGTGCACTGAGGACACAGCACAGCAGGAAGTGTCACAGCGTGAGCTGAGATCTCCCCCCCAGCAGCTCTGCTGGCTGCTGAGGGCAAAGGTGCAGGAGCCACAGAGAGGGCCATGGCTCAGGCGCCTCTCGGAACCCCAGGGAACCGTGGGAAGACCCTTTGCTCACAGACCTGGTGATGGAGCCAGGCCCATGACCTCACATACTCACAGTGGCTGTCACTGCACGAAGCTGAGGGTTCTGTTTGAGGCTGGGGGACCGGGCTGTCCTAGAGCAGGACTCCTCCTGCCACTGTGTGGGAAGCAGCGTGGCAGTTTGCTCCCCAGGGATCCTGCCCCTCTCTGCTTCTGCCCAGCCAGACTCACCGGGACTGGCAGAACCCCGCCTGCAAAGGCGCTGGGTTTGTTTCCGCTCATTATGTCACCACCATAAACGTCTGGCCCTGCTCCAGTAGGGCTCACCCGGGAAAGGGAGGTAGAAACTTCCACTGGGGTGGGGGGACGACCCCCACTTTTTAACCACAATGTAACTTCACATGTTGCAACTTGACTTTGAAAGTTGCATGCACAATTCTGCAACATTGTTAACTGCTCAATTGTGTAGTCCTGCAGACTTCAGCACCTGCACACCTATGCTGGGGTCACAGGATTCTATCTGGAGTAAACACAGGGCAGCTGGGGAGATGAGCTGCGTGCAGCGTTGGGGACATGAGGCACCCCGGGAGGCATGCCTTGGCCCTTTGCGCCAACAGTGCCCTGCACCTGTTCTGCCACTTGTGCCCTCCTGATGTTCCCTTCTTTGTGGTAACACCACAGGAGCTGCGGCTGAGCTGTTCCCGTCTTGCACCTACAGTGACCTCTGGAAAACACTCACTCAGCATGATTCACTAGTAAAGCTGACCCCAACCAGGAGGAAATTGTTGCTGTTGTTTAGCATTGTGAGAAGCACGCCTGTCCCTAAGTTGGCCCAGGCTGAGGAAAACCTCACCCCAATCTGCCAATTTGGCCTGCAAGGGTGTGTTTTTTTTTCCCTTTCCCCTCTTCCTCTATTTTCCAAAGTCTTTTCCTGAAAACAAGAAAAGCAAAATGCATTGTCTGTGAAATTAGAAAGTGCTGATTGATGCACCCTGTTTTCTTTTGGTGCTAGAGTTGGAAGAAGCATTGCTTTCTATTAATAATAAGCTACTGAACATTGTTGAGTATTGAGTATTACAGTTTATGGCAACTTCCCAGTGGAGCTGAGTAAGCCCCATGGAGGAGGTGGGAGGCCCTGGGAGGTGCAGGCAGTGGGCCACAGGAGACCATAGAGCCCCTGGCTGAGGAGCCAGGTTAGCCTGGGCTTCTGTCCCCAGAGGCTGAGACAGAGAGCGTGCCCACGTTGCCATCCAGCCGAGAAGGGACAGTATGCAAAAACGGGTGCTCTCACCTCACTGACTGCCCTGATCTTAACACCATCTAGGGCAGGTGTGTGGCTCAGGGGTGAGATGCTGCTCCAGGCCCCTGCTGTGTAGGAGCAGTGACCTCACACCAGGGCTCTGGTTCTGGCCCCAGCTTCCTGCTAATACACAACCTGGAAGGCACTGGGGGACGGCTCAGCTGCCCTGCTGCCTATCTGGGACCCCCACACTGGCTTCCCAGCCTGACTCTGGCCTTACCTGTTGTGCACACATGAGGAGTGAGTGAAAAGGCTCCTGCACTCTTTTTCTCCCTACTCATTGTTTCAAATAAAACTAATTTTAAATGTTAAAAAGGACAGCTCAGCGGTCTCCCATGGACCTCATTGGACCCATGTTCCTTTCTGAAGAACCTTGGGGAGGATGAAGGAGAAGGCCAGAGTCCCCAGCCCAAGTCATTCCCAGTCATGAGCAGGTGACCGGCTAATACAGAGTCCGGTCCAGTGCCTCTGAGAGCAATGCAGCCGTAGGACGGGGTGAATGAGGAAGCTGCTCTGAGCTGTGCGCTCCTCTCTGCAAGGGAGGAAAATCCCCTCAAGAATCCCACTTGTACTTTTATGGCATGATTTTAGATGATTTTAGGCAAAGCCCAGAACCTCTGTAGATTTTAGCTTTCTCTATTAAAAAAAAAAAGCATATATTTATTTGAAAAGCAGAGTTCCTGAGAGAATCTTCCATCTGCTGGTTCATTTCCCAGATGGTCACAGTGGCTCCAGGGCTGGGTCAGGCCGAAACCAGATGCCTGGAACCTCACCTTTGTTTCCCACCTGGGTGCAGGAGCCCAAGCACTTGGGCTGTCTGCTGCTGCTTGCCCATGCAGGAAACCCACAAGAGGCTCCAGACTCCGGGCTTTGGATCAACGCAGCTCCAGCCATTGTGGCCACTTGGGGAGTAAACCAAAAGATGGAAGATCTTCCTCTCTGTCTCTGCTCCTCCCTGCATATCTGGCTTTCCAATAAAAATAAATCTTAAAAAAAGAATGAGATGAGAGTCTAAACCACGTGGTTCCAACCTAAGCCAGGCCTTGAGACGACCGGAGCAGAGCCACCAGTCCACAGGGGCGATGGCCTGGAATGAGAGGCTCCATGGACAGAGAGTGGCCTTGTCAGGAAGTGATGCTGACACTTGGCCATGCACACACCTGCAACCAAGTGAGCATGGAACTACCTCACACTGCTTGAAGATTGGCTCAGAGCGGGCCTTGGAGCTCACCGCAAGACACGGGGGGGAGGCTACACAAGAGAGAATTACAGCAAATGGACCTCTACAAGACAGACAGCAACCTCAGTGCAAGGATGACCCACAGAATGTTCGTCAAACACTTGACAGCCATGCATCAGGTGAGGAACCTGCATCCAAACAAAATGTGGTGAGAACTCCTACAAATCAATGATAAAGAGACACCTGATTAAAAGCTGGGCCTGGGTAAGAATAATTGCTTCTGTTAGAAGATGAACAGGGCGTGGTGTGATGATTCAACTGGCTAATGTTCCACCTCCGAGCACCAGGATCCCATGTGGGCGCCGGTCCATGTCCCAGCTGTTCTACTTCTCATCCAGCTCCCTGCCTGTGGCCTAGGAAAGAGGTGAAGGACGGCCCAAAGCTTTGGGACCCTGCACCTGCGTGGGGGACTGAAAAGAAGCTCCTGGCTCCTGGCTTTAGCTCAGCTCAGCTCCAACTGTCCTGGCCATCTGGAGAGTGAACCAGCAGATAGAAGATCTGTCTCTGTTTCTCTTTTACTCAGTAAATTTGCCTTTCCAATAAAAAT